CTGGCACCGCTGAGTTCGCATCGCACTCGCATACGCTCATGCGCTAACCTCGGAAAAGGGGTCATAAATGTGAACTTAGCACAGTGCTACAAAATGTTGTACGATACTCGTGCCATGGGGACGTTTTTCGGCCCAGCTATTAGGACCCTCGCTGCACTCGGGCCTTAAACTACGCCGTGACAAATGGCACTCGTATCGTTAAGTACTATAATCATTGATGAAGAAACAAAATAACATTGATAAATATACATTCTCATTGTAAGATCATTATTAGCTTACCATTTAATAACTACCACAAATTCAAAACCGATAAAAATTAAACTTTATTTTTTTAGCATTCAGAAACTTACCAAGAATCAATAAGTGCTTATCGCCCAGTGCTATTTGTGATTGACCATACCTAGGTTGAGGTTTTAAAGTTGAAGTAATCGGTTTTTTCCAATCATAAGATTCCAAATTCAAACACCATACATCATTTGTACTGTCAAACAAATATTTCATTTTTCAATTTTATTCAGTTTAAGCATATATAATTCATAAAGTACTATAAAATATAGCTCGACGGCATGTATTTATGAATGGGTAATATTAAATTAAAATCCACGTGTACTAGATACGTTTTGCGGAATTTCCTATATTCTTTTTTGCTGTACGAGAGTGTTCCGACTTTATTAGAGAAGTAAATTCATACATAACAATTTCTTAAAATTCTCAATACTACGGGGTATTCATTGATAATCGAGGGAGCAACCTCGGGGTTGAAGGGAGGGGGTTAAAGTCGAAGAGAGGGGACTGAAAATTCAATTTTAGCAGATATTTCGAAATGGTATCGGCGACTTGGAGATCGAATTTGGATCAGAAAATGTATATTTTCGTAACTTTTTTTCCAGGCTGATTTTCGAAAAACGGCTCTGTGGAGCCCTCCGTATTGATGCTGTGAACAACTGCACCAAATTTCAGCCAATTTCATCGGGTAGTTTTTCCGGAAAACAGGATCAAAATTTTTTATCCTGCAAACAGTAATCAAAAATTTCGATCCTGTTTTCCGGAAAAACTACCCGATGAAATTGGCTGAAATTTGGTGCAGTTGTTCACAGCATCAATACGGAGGGCTCCACAGAGCCGTTTTTCGAAAATCAGCCTGGAAAAAAGTTACGAAAATATATATTTTCTGTGCTCGGTCGGTAAAAATTGTGGCCAAGGCATCACCTTAAATCAAATATACACCATCGCTAATTACTCTTTTCGACGAGTAATGTAAACAAAAATCGTTTTCTCCGATTTTTTTGCGCTCTGTAGGCAATTTAGAAGGTACCATTGGAAATGTTTTGTTTGGCTAAGATAGAAGCATTTGAAAATTAACGAAATTTCAATCAACTTTTTGTTGTGATAATTGTGTTGCAGAGTGTATAAAAGGGTTCGTATAAATATGTTCGTGAATGAAGAGTTATAACGTGGAATACCTTATGAGTCAACGTCAAAGGAAATTTCACAGACATTTCTATCCTGGTAAATTTCAAACTGGCGTTTTGAAAATTTACTTCAGAAAAATGTTATTGTTTATTATTATTCTTTATTATTACTCTTTCAAAAAGGACATTTTATGGATCTAGGAAATTGAGCTGTTTGGTCTAATTTTTAGCCAACCTCTAACAATACTTCATTTGATTGACTTTAATCATTTATTTTGGATAGAACTTCCATGAAATATAAAAATAGTTTTGTCAACTTTGAAAAAATATTTATTACATTTTGAACTGCTACAAATTGTATTGCAGCATACAATCTTATAATTGTTACACCGGCAAACATTCTCTCTAAACATAAGCGGCTGGAGTTAACAGTAAGTTTAATGTGGCTCTATAATTCATCTGAGATTCTTGTTATAAACAGAGGCATAGAACGAATATTAAACTCCTGAACTTATGTACATTTCAATCTCGAAATAAGATGATGCCCCACACGACTGTTAAAAGTGACCGTTTTTTCAGTGTCTTTTTTTTTGATAAACATATTTCAAATATTTTTTCTAGCTTTTCTGATTGCACAAAGTTTTTTATACCTTCATCTTTACAGTAATATACTCTTGAATTTAAAAAAAAATTAAAGTTTACTAACAAAAAATTACTATATCTTTATTTTGTTTAAAAACTAATGCAAATCGTCATAGAAATTTTTAAAAAATACTGGAAAGTTTTAAATTATATATTTAGGAACATTTATAAAATAAAGATCATTGTATACTTGGGAATTATTAACTTCTGCTTGCCCTTCAAAATTACTTGGCTCTTTTTTAATTCCCCCAAAGAATATCAATTCTTCTTTACCTAACACTAATGAGTATAAAATTCTCTCATCTGGACCTTTACTTTTTTCACATTCAGAAAGAACCCAAGAAGCAGAGCAATCACATATAATTTTGCTAATATCTAATACATATATTGTCAAGGAGTTTTCATTGCTTTTCAACTTAATTTCAATTTCTTCAAAACGATTCCTTCGTGAATTGTTATCAATGGACTTCTTGAATGCTTTACTTTCAATAACTGGTTGTATTTTTATTGAATCAAGTGGAGGTAACTGTAAATGTCGACTCTCTGGTTTAGAAATGGGGCTATTATGTCCAGTAATATTCCAATCCTTACTATTTCCGTGTGATACAGTTGGTCTGAAAATAAAATTGATGCGTAAATTGTAATAATTAAGCATAAAAGCCCATTAGTAATTAACGATCTATGAGTGTCCCCATGGCACGAGTATCCTATGCAATTTTATAGTATTGTGCTAAGTTCACATTTATGCCCCCTTTTCCGATGCTTAAATCGTATTTTCTGGTAGTACAAAGTGAAGTTGGCGCGCGAGCATAACGAGTGTAATGCGAACAAAAAACTTCAAGTTTTGCAAATAGGAACATAAGAAGCTCATGTAAATATTAATAAAATTTTGGAACATTTCTAACACAAAAAAATTGAGCCAGATCATCTAAACTTTAATTTGAAATAATTCCGTGATCAGTCGCCAATGTAGTATTACAAACGGAAAAAAATTCAGAGATAAGAATTTTATATTAATTTTATCTGAAAATAAATTATTTTATGAGAAATGTAATATTAAATAATGGCGATTGCTTATGCAAATGTGTGCCCTGTATTTGGTGCTGTAACAAATATAACATTCTTTAGACTCTCTCCCGCCACTATCTAATCTAATTAATATAAGAGCCATTGCGATTATAGATCGAATTGAACCCTCTTAGAGCCAACTTCATGTGAGTACAAGAAATATTTTAGTGTCATCTATATACGCCCTCTGTCTGTAGTTAATAATATCTTTCATATATTAAATTACATACTCATAAGAGTTCCATGCGCGCGTAGCGCGCACATATTAAAGTCTAGTCAAACATTAATATTACTATATCATATTGAGTATATTACTGCCCTGGGCCGCGGAAAACAAAAGAGTCCGAGAGTAATTAGCGGACGAGCATATGTCCTGGGGCTTTCTTATTTCGCGGCATTATAGGCCTGTGTACTATTTTTCATATCTCGTACCCTAAATATAGATTTTCCCGTTTTGCGCAGCGGACGGAAAATGGTCACTTTCGGGCTACTGGTATAAAATTAGTATATTACATACCAGCGGCCCGAAAGTAGCAATATGTAAAATAGCATACCCGCCTATACTGGGAAAAAAGAAAGCCCTAGTGCACGTGCTAATCGACCTCGGCTTCGCCTCGGTCCCTTACTGCCCTTGACCGAGAAAAACAGAAAAATCTCAGGGCACGGGAAATAAGCGACCGAGGCGAAGCCGAGGTCAATTAAGGAGGTTCGATAGCACTTTCAAGGGGCAGGCGGGGCGAGGGGGTCGCCTATGCTTATACACGGGCACGAAGGAGTGATACCAACTCATGGGAACAAAATATTATTAGCAAAACAGCATGCAGCGGCCGCACGGCACTTATAGGCGAAATTACTTAACTTCTATCTCGCTGAAAAACCCCCTAAACGCACTTAAAAAAAATATGTGACATATGATTTCGATTGGAAATTTCCTCAGCTTTCCGATGGTGAAGTCAGATTTTTAAAAATTTCCCATTTTCCACGGAAAATTGTAAAAATAAACTTTTAACATTAAATATCTCAAAAAACGCATTTTTAAGATTTTTCAAAGTAGTCTGAATCGAAAGCTGAGGAAATTTCCCATCGAAATACATATTTTCCAGAGAGTAAATTTTATTTTTACTAGCTGAAATACAGCGATGAACGTGTAAAAACGCGACATTTCGGCTCGCGTGTCTCAGAATCTCACGTTTTTAGACTTGTTTATTGAGCATTCGGTGTTGTAAAACGAGTTGTTTTTTTTTTCAAAATGATCAATATCTTCTTGGCCTTCTAAAAAATAGTTTTTTATTTCATTTCTTAAGTCTAATTCGTTTGCATAATGCTTTTTTTGTGACATTGTTGTAATTTTCCCCATAAGACCCATGTATAAGACGTCGTTTTTGATTTTTTTTTTTTCGAAAACTAGATTGAAATAAAAAAGTTTCAGGCATTTCTAAAGACATGAAGTTTACTATCGAACCTCCTTAACATGTGTACTGGAGCTTTATTTTTTCCCGGTATAGGCCGGTATGCTATTTTACATACACCGTGGCCCGAAAATAGCAATATTCCGTTTAGCGCAGCGGCAGGAAAATGATGAATCGCTTATAACTCAAAAAATATACATTTTAGAGAAAATAACCAGGGGTATTAACTTTTTCTTTAAAATGGTCAAAATTACTTAGATAAATAGGTTTTAAAAAAATAGATTAACCAAAGGGGTGCTGGGAAATTCCAGGGTAAAATTGGTTTCTACATTCTGGGTGTCCTTACGGAGGGAATGACGCAACAATGGTACATTACTCTATTTTTCCGATGTTAGCGAGAATATCGCCTTGACTAGCATTTAGCTTTATCTGACCTCAATCATTGAATTTAAAAATTGGGATGTTAGAATTGAAGACCACACAAAGCCAGTCGAATAAAGAGTATATCAAAAGCGCATGATAGTTAAATTAGCAACGTGACCAGTAACGAAACTGTCATCTCACTTAGAAAAAAGTGATAGCGTGAATGCAACGAAGGTCATGAGAATCTTAACCATTTATTATGGTCTTGCACAAAGTACTCTGATCGCGCATTAAACTATAAAGTAATGAGATCTAAGTTTGATGAATAGAAATGAAATGGGAAATGACAATTATGCATTACTTAGCTCCTTAAAACGCACAATAAGGTAGACAAATTTTGTATGTATCAAGAACTTGTGATCGGTGCTATTACAGTCGAGGCAATTGTTTAGTGATGGGAGCAGTAGGCGCCTAAGCCACTACGCTGTAATAGCACGAATACCAGACCTTGAAGTATAAAGAACTATTATCTAACGGGTGCAGTACATATGCTTTTTTGGCCCTATTCCAGGTTTTCTTGAAAAAGCTTATTCATCCAAGTTGCATAAAAGTATCGAAAAAATTGCGATTTTTAGGTTGAGGTCTTATAGAATATAATAACGACACTTAAAAAACATTTTAATTACCTTTTTGATGACGAGCTGGATGCATAATTTGAATGTGTGCGTTTTTCCGAAGTTAAATTCATTTCAACAGAGTGATACTGATTGCTTCGATTTAAAACAATAATAAAATTTCCAACCTACAGCACATAAAATTGTTGTTAAGTTAATTTAAAATAATAATATTTTACACACTGTTTAATTATATAATATAATAAGGTAATGATGTTGAGATAATTTAATTTTTTGCTTTAACGTTAACTTCTTGTAAAGCGTAGTGAGGTCACCGCACGAGCGTAGCGAGTATGATGCGGACGACGCGGTGCCAAAAAGTGCGACTTATAACTCGGACAAGGGGTCATAAATGTGAATTTAGTACAGTGCTGTAAAATTCCATATTATACGTGTGCCATGATATACTAGTAACTATGTAATAAGGTAATTTATGTATGATTATATTTTAAAACGAAAATAATCGTATTACCTTGCATGATTGATGACACCATATACGTGTGGGTGATGCTTGAGATTGACTTAATTGAACTTTTTTCCATGTCCAAATAGGATCTTCCATTACTAGTAACCAAACATCATTGATTGCAGCATTTGGACCAGTACAACCTCCTAAAGATGTTTTAATTACAAAACAAATTAGTTATTTATTTTTTTAAATATATGGGTAAGGCTCAGAATTTTTTAAATGATCATGCGCCAGGGGTCCTCGGATTTGAACACGCTTTTGGTATGTTATAGTAGATGAAAAAGTCCCTAAGCCCAAATTCTAGACCCCAATTTCGGTTGTACCCTCCACGCGTCTCATAAGCGTCTTTTGTCTATTTTTAACAATTTTGAAGCCATTTTTGACTTGTAAAATTTGAACCAATTCACAAAAAAACACTTCAACAATGACTTTAGTTTTCAATGCACTTTTCCGGGGAATCGAACAAATAAACACAACTTAACATTTATTATCCAGTTTTCCGGTAAATCTTCGCGGAGCAATAGGCTGAAATTGTAGCTACTGTTTCTCAGCAATAAAATGAAGAGTGCCACAGAGACGTTTGTCCGAATTCGATTATAAAAAAAAATATGAATAAAAGAAATTTCTTGCGTTTTATTCGGTAAAAATAAGAGGTCCAGATTCTCTTAAAGGGGAGTAATACACCGATTCACTCCTCTTTGTCATTTTTTTGATATAAACTACAGTTTAATGTTAATCTACATTTTCAACATAAAATTGACATCTTTGAGCCCTAAAAATGTGAAAAAATTGCAGAATAGGCCTTTGCATCTAAAAATAGCTCATTTTTGCTATTTTAGCCTTTTGGCACTGTGCGCAAAGTTCAGATCAAAGTTTTTGGATTGGGAGATCCTGATAGGTCTCAAAATCTTCAGAAAAGTATCCTTTATGGGCTGAGTTTTGTGGAATTTTGATTAGAGTTATAACAAAGTTTTTTTGCAACAGATGTGAAAAAAGCAAGATATAAAAAAAAGTTATCAATGTTTTTGAGCACATATTGAATAATAGAATTGATATGAAGGTCTAAATCAAAATTCCATGAAACTCAGCCCATAAAAGATACTTTTCTGAAGATTTTGAGACCTATCAGGATCTCCCAATCCAAAAACTTTGATCTGAACTTTGCGCACAGTGCCAAAAGGCTAAAATAGCAAAAATGAGCTATTTTTAGATGCAAATGCCTATTCTGCAATTTTTTTCACATTTTTTAGGGCTCAAAGATGTCAATTTTATGTTGAAAATGTAGATTGACATTAAACTGTGATTTATATAAAAAAATTACAAAGAGGAGTGAATTAGTGTATGACTCCCCTTAAATTCGTAGATAAATTTGGATAGTAAGTCAAAGCCGCGCTGGTGGCCTTGTCACTCACTATCAAACTTACAATTAACCCATTAACGCGCAAAAATACAAATTTGTGAATGAATTTTCAATTGTAAAAAAATCATAGATAAAGTTTAAATCTTTTTTTGAAAATCCATTTCCAGGGATTTTTGGGTATGCTTTTTCAAAATCCGGTGTTATTTTTGCGATAAATAAACTTTATCATCGTTTACTTTGCAATTAAAAAAGAAACGTGGTTTATTTACTTAAAATTTTTTATTAAAGTCGATTTTCTACCTTGCCCTGCCTTCGGAGTTCCCATAACACCAGAAATCGTGCACTTTTTCTCTGAACCTTCAATAAACGCGTTGCTGCAATTTCGATCTAGCCTCTATACTTCTAAAATGGCGGATTTATACCGAGCAGTGGTATATAAATTCACTCATGTTATAGCACTGTGTGGCATAAGTTCACATCTATGGCACGCTTTTCTGTGGCATAAGTCGCACATTCTGGCACCGCTGAGTTCGCATCGCACTCGCATACGCTCATGCGCTAACCTCGGAAAAGGGGTCATAAATGTGAACTTAGCACAGTGCTACAAAATGTTGTACGATACTCGTGCCATGGGGACGTTTTTCGGCCCAGCTATTAGGACCCTCGCTGCACTCGGGCCTTAAACTACGCCGTGACAAATGGCACTCGTATCGTTAAGTACTATAATCATTGATGAAGAAACAAAATAACATTGATAAATATACATTCTCATTGTAAGATCATTATTAGCTTACCATTTAATAACTACCACAAATTCAAAACCGATAAAAATTAAACTTTATTTTTTTAGCATTCAGAAACTTACCAAGAATCAATAAGTGCTTATCGCCCAGTGCTATTTGTGATTGACCATACCTAGGTTGAGGTTTTAAAGTTGAAGTAATCGGTTTTTTCCAATCATAAGATTCCAAATTCAAACACCATACATCATTTGTACTGTCAAACAAATATTTCATTTTTCAATTTTATTCAGTTTAAGCATATATAATTCATAAAGTACTATAAAATATAGCTCGACGGCATGTATTTATGAATGGGTAATATTAAATTAAAATCCACGTGTACTAGATACGTTTTGCGGAATTTCCTATATTCTTTTTTGCTGTACGAGAGTGTTCCGACTTTATTAGAGAAGTAAATTCATACATAACAATTTCTTAAAATTCTCAATACTACGGGGTATTCATTGATAATCGAGGGAGCAACCTCGGGGTTGAAGGGAGGGGGTTAAAGTCGAAGAGAGGGGACTGAAAATTCAATTTTAGCAGATATTTCGAAATGGTATCGGCGACTTGGAGATCGAATTTGGATACTTAATGAAAAGGAAAGGCTACTCTATGATCTAGAGCATGTAGTCACATTTATTGCTGTTTCTGAAACAAAAAGTGTCCTAGACGCGTTTTAATTCAACTGAAAAACAAAGTAATACAATTTTTTATTGTTTTATATTCGAAGAGTAAATATTTTTTTCTATTTTAGATATTTTCATCTCTTTTTTTTTACATTTTTTCGGCCTATACAGGGTCAGTATGGTTATGACCGCAATCTCGAGCGAGATGATTGTTCATTGCTGAAAATAGCTTAATTGTTTGGGCAGAACAACTTACTTATCGCTTTATTAAAAATTTGGAAGTTTTTAATTTTTGTTTAAATTCCTTCAGGACTAAGTTAAAATTTTTATAACATATATTATTAAAATTCATGAATTTTTAGAAAGTGTCAACTGTAAGCCTGTTAAGAGGAAACTAGAGAGTCTCAAAAATTATCATTTATAAGGCTCTTAGATATGGTATGAAAGATGAGTATAGAAGCTAGAAGATGTACGTGCTTCACAAAAAATAGTAAAAAAATTTAATACTGACCAAAGAATCTTGAAATTATTTACATGAATTAAAAAATTCATAAAAAATAAAAGGTATGCATTCAAAAATGCATTGTATTGTGAACAAAATTTTGCTGATAGCTTATAATTGTCAAAAATGTTAGCTGGTATGCATATATATAAATTTTAATTTTCTCAATATGCTATGCACTACTGATGATAAAATTCTACCGATTTTTATTATAAAAGTGAATATCTTAAAATAACTAGAAAAATAACCCTGTTGATATAGATGGAAGAGAGCATTAAATTCTACAAAATATATTAACATGAAAACTATTGTGTTACAAATTTGCCAAAAAATCAAGTTACTTGATTGTTAATGGATTAATAGATAAGTGGATCAAGTTCAAAACAGAATGAATATTCTTAAAATATTATGTACCTATGGCCATTTGTAATGCCTCCAAAAACAATCATTAAATTACCATGAATTGATGCAGAGTGGGCAGAGACTGGTGGTGGCATTTCATTTGAATTGACGGCAATCCATTGATTTGTTTCCAAAGAATAGAGATGAAGTTCATTAAATAATTTCCATTGCTGAAAAGTTTATAATATTATGAAAATCAACAGAGGCATATTTAATTGCTAAAACTAATACCTGATAAAAAGGATATGGAGAAGGATGTGACCAGCCTCCAAATAAAATAAGAAATTTTTTATAATTTAACATTGACGCACAAGCTTTAGGTGATGGATAATTTCCAGTGGTCATGGGTCGAAACCATTTTCTTGAATCTAAATCTAGTTTCCATAAATCATTGAAGGTAGTGCAAGTTGCTGTGCAACCGCCAAATACATACATTGCGCTACCAACAGTACATGCAGAATGAGAGTGTCTTCTACTGATAATTGACGAGCAATCTTTTTTTGGTAAAGAACTCCATATCAATGACCCATGGGCCACTGATCTTTGGAAATGGGTATTGTTGTGATCAATCACATCTATGGAGAAAAAATTTTATTTTTAGTTAATAAGTAATATTTTAGAAAAAGAATATCTCACTTTTTGTAGCCTTGTACCATCTTTTACAAACAAACATACATCTTTGCAAGTATGTGTATGGAGGTATTAAACTCAATATATATTCTAAAACTTCATCTGGCAAATCGTGTATTTGACATTGCATTTTGAAGTAAAAAGTTATTCAGTTCAAAATTCAATTTAATACTTATGTTTAGAAACTGTATATTATCTATACAAAGTTATAACATAAAATGTTTTTAGTCTAGTCAACTCATTTAGATTCAATCATAAGTTTTGACAATTCAATTGACAGCATTGAAACATTTCTGTACTATTAAATGTTCGTATACTTCTTGTGTTGTATAGGTTTGGATAAAAAATGTGGTTTGCTAATAATTAGTTAAAATAGCATAAGTTCCATTTAAAGTATATTTTTCCCATTCTTTACGAATTTAGTTTTACTGGTCACAATAAAGATGCATAAATTTAATAAAATAGATGTGACTTGCGAATTAATAAATTTTTCCCCTAAAAACTACAGCTTCTAAAATAGGACACTGACAGTGACGGTCGTAGTGGTGGTACTGAATTAAAGTCTTGACAATATTACAACCTTGATATATGCAATAAAGCGAGAAGTTGAACGTTGCTTATATTTGGATCTTAATTGAATGCAACTACTAAATATTAATCGCAAATTTTATAATGCATCAATTTATTATATAATTTATGCACATGTTGATCAGGAGAGCCAAAATTAACCTTTGATAACTAACTGACAGAATTCCAGAATGCAAATACTATTAATAATAAAAATTTTTTTATGGTATATTTTTTGAATAGTCAATAACTTGATAATATTGATGTTTAAATAATGAAGCATTTGAAAGTAGGCAGTTGTTACTTCATAAATAAGTTCTGTTATATAATTAAATATTTACGTACAATTTTAAATGGTGTCTTTAAAAGGTACAAATCAAAATGTTTGACGTTTTTTTTTGAAATTTTAAACGAAGAAAATTATAATTTGAAATTGAAAAATTTTATTTGCAATTCTCTCTTTGAAGTTTGAAAACTCGAGTTATAACATATTTGTATTGCTGACTGCCAATGTAGTTTCGTTGACCTGCGCAATAGCGCTAGCTACTTATAGCTTGTGAAATTTTCAGTATATCATTGTACGTGCAGCTTAAATTCACAGTCAGATTGTTTCAAGGCAGAGCAGACGTACTCTTGTCGAAGAATAAATTTGAGTTCATATTTTATATCATTTTTTGTGCAATAAAATTATATTTAATTTCTTAAAAATGCCTCGTCGTGGTCGAGCATCAGGTCCACCTCCAAGAAGGTATATTTTCCTGATGATTAACTTTTTATAACCGCACTTAACGTTTAAAAAACATAACATGGTGCAACACTTATTTATTACAACTAGTTATTGGACTGTTATTCGTTGCTAAAAATTTGTTAATGAATTGAAATTCAATGCAAAATAAATATTCAGTTGAATTTCTGTAGAATCCTATAGTAATTAGTGTACTCATATTTCCAGCACAAGACCTTCTCATGGATCTACTCAAAGCTATGGATCAAGTTCAAATAGTCTACCAGCTCGAGCTCCTCCAGCAACACCAATGCCTGCTCAACCAATGCAACCTCAACAACCATCGCTCATGGGTCAAATGGCTGCTACAGCTGGCGGAGTTGCTATTGGTTCAGCAGTGGGCCACACCATTGGCCATGCAATGACCGGATTGTTTAGTGGAGGTTCAAACGAGCCGACTGCTCAAGCTCCTCCAGCTCAAGCTCCTGTAGCTTCTGATGCTAATACTACTAATAATGCATGTGCTTGGGAAATCAAACAATTTTTAGAATGTGCCCAAAATCAACCTGATATCTCATTGTGTGAAGGTTTCAATGAAGCTATTCGTCAATGCAAAAACCGTTTTGTCTAAAATTGAATTATGATTGTTAGCTATAAAGGTGCTTCAATTCTGTAAATTCAAATTTTATTCTAAGCACAGCAACCAAATAAAATGTTGAAGTAGTTTGTTGAACCAACTTGTATTTGTTTCAAAAAATTCTTCTTCCCATGATTTATCTATATATTTATGACAAATTCACATTTTTTAGCAATCTAAATTTAAACTAATAAGAAAGTTGAAATAAAGATAAAAATGAGAACCATTAGGAAAATCAATTAAACTTAAAAAAGAAATTTTATTAACAATAGAACTAAAAGCATATAAAACTGTGATTTTTATCAACTTAGTGCTTGAATATGACATAATTTATTTAAATATTCAACTTAAAATTAATTTCTATGTTCTTTGCAAACATACTTACTGATTTACTTTTAGTGGTCATCAGTCAAAGCAATTAATCTAAATCTTATGTTCATAAATTTTTTTAATTAATTTGACCAGACAAAATTTTTATGTGGATTAAAATAATATTTTAAATAATATAATTTATTGCAAACTTCTAATCGTAAGGTACTTTATTTTAACAGTAATAATATTAAAATTTAATTAAAATGAATAAATCAACCTAAATTTTTTATTCTGTTTTAAAATGATAAAGAAATTAACTTATAGATAAAAATATATTTGCATTTTTATAATTATGAAAAAACTTTTTTATGCAATAGTATGACGAAAAATGTCTTTTTTCGCACATTTTTTAGTGCGCGAAAAAAAAAGCGTTTTTGGACACTTGTGTGCGGTAAAACGCCTCATTTAAATGAACGTATTTTTCGCCTACTATTGCATACAATTTTGTATGCAACACGTGCACAGCTTTTTGCGCACGGTGTGCGGAAAAAACACCCACTCGTGCCAAAAAACGCCTTTTGGGCACTTGTTACATAAATAACTATTTTGCAACAGATGGAATATTTTAAACATTTTTTAACAATGTATGAAACTGCTCCATTTTATTACGCATTTTATAATTTATAATTTTATTAATTTTAAAATAAAAAATAGCTCCTTATTTTATAACCCTTATAAAAATTTCCAATAGGATCCCGCGAAATTCCTATTGGAATCCTATAGGACTCCTGTAGGAATTTCGCGAGATCCTATAGGAAATTTTTATAAGGGAAGATACTGTAACTACTCCTATGCGGGCTTTGTCTACCTGCACGCTTCGTTTTTACATTAATTTTTAATTTCCAATCATCTTAAATGTCTATTTACTTTCTCCTCAGTTATTTACCCAAGTTTTCAGGATCTCAGTCCTTATCCCGAGTTTTTGGTTCTTCATCGGAAAAAAAATTTTTTCCCACTCTAACCTAAAATACGCAACTTTGCCGCTAATTTTAGGCTTTCGTAGGAAAAAATAGTATCTCAAACTGGTGCAGATATGGTTTTTTAACAAAACTCGTTACAGCACTCGCCTTCGGCTCGTGCTATAATCCCTCGTTTTGCTAAAAAACCATATGTGCACCCGTTGAGAAATATACTATTTCTTTGCTCATTTGGGGGAGATTACGATATGATCCGTGGCACAGCGAGATTATGATGAATAACGACAGAGGGCGCTAAAACTTGTTGAAATATGACCATAAAATAGAAGTCGGGGGTTCAAATCCCGGCGGTGGGCTGGTTTTTTCCCGAGGATTTTTTCTGCGGGGTTTGCACCGTTGGGTGTAATCCGTGGAAATTTTCCTTGGAAAAAAGCCGGTGCACTTCAACTGCGGTCTCTGGTGTTGGGGGTCACACCATTATCAAAGCGTAACCTCAGTGGTATGGGAGGCGCAACCATATCGACTATAGGTACACGCTAATACACTAACACACACACTTACATATACACGCAAGACCCACCGTTAGGTAGAACGGTGAGGTTGGCCAATTAGCCTAGTAGCAGAAAGGGCCGTAATCAACTAAAAAAAAAAAAGACCATAAAATATTTTTAAACCTCACCTGATTGGATGTAGCACCTTTTATGTGTTTTGGACTCACCCCCAAATTTACACCTTGTTACGGATACCATTAATGTTTCGATTTGATGTGAGAATGTAAGGAGTTAGGTATGTAAGGTGAGGTGAGGAGCGGGTGCAGGGAGCGAAGCCCCCGCGGAGGGATTGGGGGGCGAACCCCCCCCCCCCCACTGCCAAAAAATACCATCATAGAAATTTAAAAAAATTTTAAATTAAAAACTTTTTAAAAATTTAAATTTTAAAATCAAAAATCATTGACATCAAATTCAGAGTAATCTTTTTCAATCGCGTTGTCAATGTTGTAATTTTCCAATTAAAGTTCATTTTCTAGTCTTTGTTTTTTCGGCGGGGGTAGAAATTGATCTTGCTCAGACGATGAAAATGACGGTGTATAGATCTTTGATTGTCAAACCTTCTCTTAACTCGCCGTCAACAATGCCTGAATAAACGGTCTTGATGTCAAGTAAAAATGTCATAATTTGTGACCCATAATCATTCTTGTATCGATGCAAAAAAGTTCTTCTATAAAAATTCAGAGCCATATATTGGTGGAGTAACTTTGGCGTTCGTCTACATTTAATCGACTTTTTCAAGAGCTTATTTTGGTTTTTTTAAGTCATTGATGGTGTTTAAAGGATTTGCCTTTTCGACGTATTCACCAATGCTGTGATTGGTTTGTAAATGCTCCGTATTACTAGAAAACATTTTTTCGACCCAATGGTAGTGCTTCGCACTATCTGTACAAATCCTCGAAGTTTCATGATCGACATATTTTCTAATGTATGGTCACAATCCTGCTTTACTCTTCGCGTTCACTTTAAAAAAGAGTCCAATCTTGTCCTCTTTACAGTATAAACCGAGCACGATTATAGACATTTGCTCGGTTACACGACCACGATGATATTTCCTTTTCGTCAAGAAAGTTTCGTCGATTTGCACTGTTTTGCCGATGCCACCTAAAACCACATCACTCTGCGATGCTACTACTTAAGCTATCTCTCTGAAGTAACTGTAATAATCAACTACTGTGCTAGTACTAAGCTCCATACCCTCACGTTCATGGCGCCAAGCTTCAACATGCTTGTATGTCTCGGTTACTGTCATTTGCATTACAAAGCAGATAACAATTGCTAGTGCATCGCGAATCTCAATGCGACAGGCTTTACCCTCGAAGAATGTGCCACAAGCAGGATTGATAATGTTGCGACACGATATGCTACCTTTTTTCTTCGATCTCGGAGTCGAGCATCTCCAAACCCACTTCAATTTTTTCGCTGGAAACTCTTCAACTTTCATGGGTAAATCGCAACATTTTGGAGGCGTAGAGTTGCGCGATAGGATGCCAATGCTTCGACAAACTGGATCGCGATGTCGTTCGTTGGGAGCAGCTTCTCGAATGAATGGAAAATCGAAAAATTTGCCAATTTAAAATGAAGATTAGGATGTACACTCATTTTACACAAAACTTTAACAAAGACTTTAACAATACACAAACAATACTTTAATAACTTTAACAAAGACTTTAACGATGCACAAACAATACTTTAACAAATACTTTAACAAATGCTGCTTGAAAAATTGGCAAAACAATCAAGTTGATGCGTGTCGTTAGTAAGCTTACTAAGAACTGATTAATTTTGAAAATATAAACAATCGTTAGAACTAACATGTTCGAATTATTAATTAAATAGTATATTACTGCCCTAGGCCGCGAAAAACAGAAAAGTCCCAGAGTACGTGTAATTAGTGGCCGAGGCGAAGCCGAGGCCGATAAACACGTGCTCTGGGGCTTTCTTTTTTCGCGGCATAGGCCTGTATACCATTTTTCATACACAGTGGCCCGAAAATCGCTCTTCCCGCTTTGCGCAGCGGCAGGGAAGTAGTCACTTTCGGGCCGCTGGTATGAAAATTTTTTATTGTTGCCACGAAATCTAAAAAATAAGAAACCTAAGTAGGAACGTGTTGCATGCATAAAAGGAAAATATATGTAGTAAAGTAAAAGAAAATATTAATTTCATAATTTTTTTATTAATACTTTATTTTTTTATAAAACAAATACTGCAACCAAAATGCAACTAGAATATTTTAAAACAGTCCAAATATCAAGTTTTAACGCCCTCTGTTGGAATTGATCATAACCTCGCTGTACCACGGATATAGTAATCGTGCCCTCATTTGATTATCACAGCTTATGCATAACGTTTAGAAAAAAACTTTTCCCTTATAAAAATTTCCTATATGATCCCGCGGAATTTTTATAAAGGTTTAACTGCATCGCGCACTTGTTACAAAATATACTATAATAATACCTTTTGATAGGAATCAGTAACCTTCTAAATGAACGTGTACATTTGACCAAATGAATCTGTGGTTTTAAAATTGTTTCTAAAAAATTATCAAAGCCCACTAAGCAGTCAATGACCATGAACTTGGAACTCAGATAATTTTTATTTTTGAGGTCTGGAAGCATAATTAATGAACATACATGTCTAGTAGTGCATGAGGAATCTATTGGTGATCTTCAAATTGTATAAAAAACTTTTGAATAAAAATTATTAAAGATTATTGCAAGTGGTTAAAAACTGGATGGATGATTATAGCTAATAGGCAACTTTTCGACCAGGTCAAAATTATAAATTGAGCGAAGAAACAGATTAAATAATTTCGACCTTCGGAGGAATAGAGACTGATTTATTTGGCTTAATGCCCATCATCACAAGCCCGTACAAGTCGAGTAACACACTGGCTTTAATCTATAAGGCATAACCACAACGAGTACCTCTCCAAGTCCTTTTACATCAGGAATGAGAAAATTTTAAAAACTTGTTTATTAACATTTTGAATTTATTGGATAGTTTTATGCTACATAACTGTAATTGATATACATCTTTATTTACAAATAAATGATCCTAAAATCACTGTAACAAGTACATTTTTATACTTCAAATGTATGGTAGGATTTTACTTAAGATCTATAAACAAATTCAACATAAGGTTTTAATTATGGTGCATAATTTTATTATTAGTTTACCAGTAAATGTCGTTACTTTCAAATTGTAAAATAACAGAATTTAAAGAACGTAAAAAAATAAAATTATACGATTCTCTATAGTAAATTTTATTACACGTAATTCACAGATTTAGAGTAACATATATGAATCATAATCTTGATTTTTATAGAAATTCTATTTACACTTGCGTTTTATTACTTTAGAATGAACAGAATAGAAATGTCCTAATCTAGTTGAGGTCAAATTGAGTCTCAACATTTGGCCTTTTTTTTGTTAGTTTCAACCCATAAATGGGATTTGAGTACAAAATATCTGACACAGTATAAGCTAATTAAATATATAATTTTCTATTATGGCCATTTTAAATTTATATTTGTAACATCTAATGCTAGTATTTCCAGTTTACAGTTTAGAAGATCTGAGAGAGATGGAGAAGTTCTTCCGAAATCTCCATTTATGAATTCCTTTATATATGTTCCAGCTTGTGTTTTAATATCTACAATGAAGACTCTAGATTCTGGGGGTAAAAAATTGTAATGTGTATGATACTTATTTAACTCTTGAGAGCTTGGGATCCGAGCTCGTATTTCGTAAATCATTCGTGGTCGAGTCGATAAAGATCTTCGATGAAGAACTCGAACAGGAGTAACTTGATTTATAGTAATTTTTTCAAGTCGCGTTAATTTTTCCAAAAAAGTCGTTTTATCAAAGTTTTGTTTTGAAAAACATAAAGCTCGATATGTTTTGACTTTTGATTGTTCGCCTAGTTTCAACTTATTTAAACTTTTTTTATTTACTATCTTCAAATTCCCAAAAATTGTAAGTTTCTGATTTTTTAGCAAATTGTCAGAAAATGTTTGAAGATCATCTATCTGAAGTTTAGTTACTTTTGGATTCATCAGTTCTAGAGCAAAAGGTCTTCCATTTAATATCATTCTGACATCAACATCTTCCCTTCCAGAACAAATGAATTTAGAAGCTGAAATAATCATGTAAAGTTGTTTTAAATAAAATTTTAGGTACCCTTATAAAAATTTCCTATAGGATCTCGCGAAATTCCTACAGGAGTCCTATAGGATTCCAATAGGAATTTCGCGGGATCCTATTGGAAATTTTTATAAGGGTAATAATAAGACATTAAATCAATAGTTATTTATGCAACAAGTGCTCAAAAAGCGTTTTCGCTCATAGTGTATGCACGAGGGCTGGAGTCATTCAGTACGAGTGGCTTGTTTCGCCTTTTAAGCAAAAGTATGAGAAGAGCATAAATAACAAGCGTAATATTTCACAAAATACTAGAAATTTTAGCGTACACCAGTATACAAATAGTATATTTTGTAACAAGTGCGCGAAGCAGTTGACTCATCCAGGAGTTGTTTTCACCCGAGCGTAGCGAGGGTGCAAAGACTCCTGGGTGAGTCAACTTCCTCGCGGACTAGTTGCAAACGATATTTTTTAACTCTGCTTGCGAGACACTAGGGTTTTCTGACGCTTTAAGGTTAGAAAACCCGTGTTTCGCGCACGCAGTGTTAAAAAATGTTTTTGTGACACCCCAACCTAAAGTAACATTTTACTTCCGCTGAGCAAAACCAAAATGTTACTTTAGGCTGGGGGATTCACAAAAAATTGTATTTGCACCTATGTAGCGAAAAAAGAAAGTCTCAGAGCACGTGATTATCAACCTTGGCTTCGCCTCGGATGATAAATTGCACGTACTCTGAGACTTTCCAGTTTTTCACTCCCTAGGTACAAAATATACTATTTTTGCTCATTAGAAAGTGTGGGCGAAATAGTACTTTACGATGCAAGTACCATAAATTTCTCCATGACACGAGTATCGTACGTCATTTTAAAGTAACGTGCTATAAAATTGAGTATGATACTTGTACCATAGGGGACACTTTTTAAGGCGACTATTAGGACGCTTGCTGCACTCGGGCCCTAAACTACGCCATGTTAGAAAGTGTTACTAATTATGGCCCTTGTATCATAAAGTACTATTAAGTTCATTTTAGTATAAAGCTAACAATTTTAATAATTTCATTAAGTAGTTTTCAAGAGCACGTTAAAAATTTCATAGATTTAAAATGCATTTTAAACAGTAAGTAAGTTTATCTGACTCCAGATCTGTGCACATCGCTTTAGTATCATAATCGTAAAGCACTATACTAGGTACAAAAATTACGTTAAATATAATAAAAAAATTAAATAAATAACTCACCATCTGATAAAGTGTATTTCTTCATGTCTATACTGATAGATTCTTGAATGGAATCATTACTTATAGTTTTCCCGTTGATAAACCACGGTGTTTGGCATAATAAACGAGTTCTTTTGACATATCGACCTATAAATAATATCATAATAACTTTTCATGTAATAACGAGTGAATTTTATTTATTTATAACCAAGTTTCAGTTCAAGCAGAAAAAATGCTGTTAATTAATGAAAGTTCATATAACAACAACAAAAATGAAGTTTTTCAATCAAATCAATCTTTGTCCTCAAAATAAAATAAAAACTAAGTAAAATCGATTGCTGAAAAATTGCAAATTTTAAACTTAGTGAGGAAATGAAATTCTAGCGAGTCGATTCGGCAGAAATTCACGAAGTTCGCATTTGCTGTATTTTTTATTGAGGCATTAACCGTAAATAACAAATTTCGCCTTCAGTTGACTCAGTAAGCGAATTTAAGGACATATTTCATTTGAAAGTAGAAAAATTAAGTGCCAGGTATATTATTGTACATGAAGTATATGCAACATATAAAACACCGGTAAATGGGTTGGGGTAAATGCAAAGCATTTTGTTTTATCGGACGTGGACAGGTTAAACCCTGCAGCCAGTGACCCTCTGAACTTCTTGGATCGAGTCGTATTGCCACGGCGTTCCAATTCAATTCGGACCTCATCATGACCCTATGTTAGGATTTTTGTGCCAGAGAAGCGGTGTGAGATTCAAATTAATTATTGTTTTTTCATTATCATTAACAATAAACCTTATTTAATTCTCACACCGTCCACTGGGGTGAGACTGGGGTTCCCAGGACTCAGGATATACTTTAAGATCACAATCAACAATGTCAATTGATTCATCTTCGTGTGAAAGTGTTGGTTCATTCATTAGCGATATCAACGAGGAACTAACCAACAGAGAAGTTGATGAAGACATAATCACATATTCACATACTCATCCTAGCCCTAATGGTTTGTAAAAAAATTCTGCAATGGGATCTACGATAAAAATATCGAAACCATTTACATATGACGAAATGGAGCATGAGCAAAATACTTCATATAAGATTGAATTTATAGAGGATCGTCCATTCAATGCTATAAATGACTATTTTTGAATGACAGAGTTCGAAAATAATGTACCATATAAATAAATAAACAAATAAATAAATGTATTCTCACTATGAATGTATTATAATATTTTATAATATAGTAAATAAAAAAAATTATAATACAGAAAAAGTATGTCTTTTTTTCTATCGTTACACAATATTGTTACACGATTTCTCCTTAATTAGATTAAAATCAAGTAAAGCCATATGGCCTGCTTTTATCATAAAGAAAAATTTTTCGAAAAAAGTTCGTAACACTGTTTCAAGAAGAGGGGATAACATGAATTAAGTTAGGATACTATGCCAACACGAACAATGACTAGTGTGTTGTAGTATGATAAAAAATTCAAACCTTCAATGTTTCACACATTATCTCATTACAAGTCAAAACCCGAATTGACTTGGGAAATAGCGATGATATGATCAACGTCAGGAAGTGAGGATTATCACGTCATGAGCTGAGAAGATGCACCAATTTGAATTTTGAAGCAGATATCATCATAACTCTAGTTGAGAAAACATGATAGCATTCGTTCTGATTTCGTTTTAATCATAGTGATTCAGATCCCTAATGCATCTAACAACGCATTACCTTCCAACCGACTAGCATTAACAAATGATGCGATGAACAAACATATAGCTCATACCATAATTGTGACGTGGTGGTCGTATAGCGGCCCGCTGTGACACGCCGAGTCAACGCGGAGTCGAGCTCACAATCGGAGCAAAGCTCTCGCATGAGCCCGTCAGTCTGCGGGCCGGACGGGCGGCTCGCGTGTGGGCCGCAGAGAGGGGGAAGCCCGAGCGGCCACGCGCGAGGCCGCGAGCCGAGTTGAGTCAGTAGTCGACCGATTGTGTAGACGATCGGACTTCAGCCCTATTCGAAGCTCACAGCTGAGAATACTCTCGTTAGCGATTCCTGTGCGATTGCGAGTGAGATAGCTATAGTCTTTGGTGAGTAGTACTTGCTGGGTGATTGTGTGTGTTGAGTGAGAGTCACAGCACCGTTGTGATACGTGTGTGTCCGCGTGGCGCATAGGTGTGCCAGCGGATAGCCTCGTCGGGTGCGTGAGCCTACAAGAAGTTGCACTAGCAAGTGCTAGAGTGTGTGGATGTGTGAGTGTGAGCGGAGACGCGGTGAGCAACCTCGTCGTCCGGGTTCGGCGTGACGCGGCCTCTCGGCCCTCAGGCGACCCGTGCTTTGGCACGACCGGCCTCTTGGCCACGCGAACGTGGGTAAATTCTGTAGGGCTTAGGCGCGAGATAGGGACGCGGAGATAAGCGCGATGCGTGCATCGAGAAAAGACCTTGCCGAACTTATTAGAAAAACCGCTTGGAAAGTAAAAGAGTTTTTAAGTATAGTGCCTTCGAAAATACAAGAACCTGCAGCTGCAGCTGCACCTGAAGCTGAACCTTAATCAGAGCCCGAACCTAACCCAGTTCTTGTGCCGCAACCACTGAGAAGATCCTCAAGGATTAAGGGCTTATATATACCTTAAAATCGCATAATTTTAAAATACATGAAAATATAAGTAAAAATTAAATCTGGTGAAATGGAAAAATTCTCCTCTTTTCCAACCCTTTTTTCAACCAGAAATCACCCTGACATACCCCAAATTAAC